AAAGGTGCGAAAAACCTTAACTCGGGGTCCAGAAAAGTTAAGAAACTGAAATTTTAGTAGAGTGTTCTCTGCCCGCTTATGACTTCGCAGAGCGCAATCCATCCATCTCCCCCTTTCTCGCATGCCTAGATCTCAAGTAGGAACACATGAAATTTTTGGCGCCAAAAGTAATAACATGAAATCATGGAAGCTAGGAAGTAAAATTTCAGAATAATGCTCCTGCCCCGTATAAATTCAATCCCTGTGTGCCTCACTCTTAGGTACAAATATGCAAAAGTCTTGGCGCTAAAATTAATAAACATAAGGGCAATGAAATCTTTGATGCCAGAATTAATAATTCGGGAACCACAAATTTTTTCTCTTTCAATACGGGAACGACCATCGCATGTTACGAGCTAGAATACACATCATTCCAGCTCGTGAAAGAAGGGTACTACACGCGGTAAGTCGGTGTAACAGGTCTAGAGAAATCGATGGAGAGGAGATGAAGCGATAAATCAAGAACTACGGCTGGACCATGATGGCGAATATTGAGGAGGACTGCAAATGCCTCGCTGACAAGCTTCTTGAGTGTGCGAAATGAGTCAAATGCGTCAAGTCTCGTCGGTCAAATTCAAGGATCCCCGCAGCGACAAAATGCTGTTAGAGAAGAGGAGAAGCATGAAAAGGGGTAAAACTCAGATCGTGGAGTACTGTCTTCTCTGTAAGCACATCAGACGAAAGCTGAAAGAGGGTTTCGAAAACTGTAATGGTCGACGGAAGGCAGAGACGGTTCAAAGAAAGCACAGCTTAAAGAAATACCGGAGAGCTGCTGCTGTACTATCTTCTAATGGCAGCACTGAAGAGCAGAAGTGGATGCTGGATAATGAATGAACAGATATGATGAATATCTGAAGAAAATCCTTTGCAAATCTGTTTGCATCACTTGCTGACATTCCAACAGTTGTAATTCGCGCCACCAAACAGAAAATCCTTGCAGTAAGCAAGAAACTCTCCAAATGAAAAGTAGATAGTCTCCTGGAAGTGATGGCATTAACATCGAAATGATCAGATCCCGAAGGCGCGATCTTTTAAAGCTCTTGCCATTCAGTCAATGCATGGTAGAAAGAAAAATTCCTAACATTTTGGAAAGAGTCGAAAACAGTTGTGGTGCATAAAAAGGCCGATAAGAAAGATTTGGAGATTTACC